GGTGGGAAGACTCAGGTTTCAGGTAAGTCGGATACGGGCGGCGTGTCTTTTGGTCAAATTCTGTTTTGGGATGTTTGAAGACAATTCTTTGCAGCACATCTTTGGTAGGCACCTATAATATATATTATATTCCTTGCACTTCGTTGCTCGTTACAAATGCCAACTCTATACGAAACTCGCTTGTGATAATGCGAGCAGTATATTATCAGGTAGGCAATCCACCTGAGGTGGTCCGCCTTTGAGGACCCCGCTAGGTGCATACTCTATAATTCGTTTTATTTTTATTTTGATTGTGGACACGCCGATGAGCGGTTATAAGTGCTACTCAGCCGCCTTGGTAGGCAATTTGCATAAATTTGACTTGATGCATGCTTATATACCCGATCTGACCGACAACTAATGGCGATCAAAAAACAAAAAAAAATACTAATTTCTCCCAAAAAAGTAAAGAATAAATTGTCGAAATTTACTTCTCGGAACAATTAAGAATTACACGCCAATCAAACACATAATTTGACGGACAGACAGATCAACTTTCAGGTAGCTGGAAACCCGCGGATCGCCGTGCCTTAACCTTTTATATATATCTTATACATGTTATTCCATGTCAGTTGCGTTTTGTTATACCACGTTGTATGTTACGTCCACGGGAACGGGACAAAAAGTATTCTATGTCCGTCTCCTGGTTTTAAGCTACCTCCCCACCAATTTTCAACCAAATCGGTTCAGCCGTTCTTGAGTTATAAATAGTATAACTTACACGACTTTCTTTTATATATTATATAGATTATATGGGCGGACATAGGCAATAGGCATGAGCCGGCCCTAGGGAAATACAGCCTTCCGGCCTCTGCCAAATATGTAAATTAGCCCTTGCAACCACCAGTTTTAATTCCAAGATTTATTCATTTTTTTTTTGAGTAAATAAGTATTAATATATATCGCAATGTCCGAATCACGATTGAAGATAATATACAAGGATAAATCTTTAATCGTAGTCCGAATGTTTCCTTACAACAAAAACAACTAAATTTCAATAACCTACTATCTATAGGTATGAATCCTCAGGATAGGTAGGTAATACAGGTAGGTAATCAGTTATTTGAGAATTGTATGAGCCAAAAACTGAATCCTAAAACTTTAGTCGCGTTTTTCATTATATCACTTATTTCCCAATCTATAGGCACTACGCAATGGAGTAAATAAAATAATTCAGGCTTTAAGGGGATGGGCTCTCTAGATTTTTTGTATCTGACAAGAATTTTTATACTCAGGGCACTATGCTATAAGTTAATAAAGTAGGTGCTGTCTATAATATAACTCAGTAGTTATCCTTTCGTTCTTTCTTAATGAGTAGTAACCCCCATACAATAGGTAGGTAGGTACTAGGTACCTATCTGTTATTATTTTAATGACCAAGTACCTATTTAATAGGTGTAGGTACCTATTTATATATACCTACTAGATAACTAGACACGTACAAAGGTCAAATGCGTTATTCTTGTTTCACATTTTGCTATTGAATTTTTCAACAGTTGAGGATAAATGCATCCAAATGTGATAACATTATGAGCTAAATAGCAGACGCCTATCATGAAAATTGCTCGGGAAGCCTGGAAAACATATTTCCGTGGAGTCCATGCTCACTGCCCTAGATCCTAAGAGCCAAAGAGTTATTATTCTATTAATGGTGTTCTTAGAGTAATAATAAATATTTACTTACCTACTCTTACTCTAATGATTAATTTACTATAAAAAATTGAATTTTCATTAATTGACTGCATACAACAGCAAGATAATGTTGTCTTTCAACAATTTTATTCATATTGTAGGTTACCAATGTTTAGGTATTACCACTTTACCCGAACGATTTATTATAGTATTATTTAAACTCCATAGTCTTTACCCTTCAGTCATAAAATGTAAAATATCAAGAACCTTCTAACAGCGGTTTTGCCATGGTTGATGTGGTTTGTACTTAATGATAGTTAATGATAAACGAAGACACCAAATGTGGAGTGTCACGATTTCCACAACATTTAAACAATTATTTTCTAATTTTTAGCGTCCGTCTCTTATTCGTCTTTCTGGCGAAATCGATGCCACTAAATTTGGACCTCCTTGCCCACAGTTAATTCCTGATGGCAGTGGAGTAGTTGGAAGTGAAGACTGTTTATTTCTCAATGTATTCACTCCGTTGGTAAGGATTATTTATAGGAATGACTGTACTTTCGTAAATTTTTATTTTGTTTATCATTATTAATATCCTTACAGAAAAAACCAAACAATTCAAATATTCCCATATTGGTTTGGATACACGGAGGAGGTTTCTTTAGTGGTTCAGCTCTGCAATATGGACCTGCCCATTTAGTGAAAAATAATATTATTGTAGTTACAATACAATATAGACTTGGATCATTAGGTAAATTTCAATCATTATTCGTATGCAAACAATTTAAATGCATTAAAAATAACAACTATATAATTTTTTGCACTATATTATTTAGGTTGGCTTACAAGTAATGTAAAAAATCTTCCTGGAAATGTCGGATTGTTTGACATGCGTGCTGCTATTAAATGGGTGAAAGAATATATTAATTATTTTAATGGAGATCCAGAGCGAATAGTTGTATCTGGTCAAGGCAGTGGAGCTAGTGCTGCAACATTACTGTCAATGTCAGATTTTACAAAAGGTACCTACTTATTGAAATTGTAAAATAAAATATTAGCTATAAATATGATTTTAAAAAAAAATTGTTCAACAGGAATGATCAGTGGAATTTTTGCAATGAGTGGTAGCCCACTGTCTGCATTTGCAGTAGACCCTGTACCAAAACAAACATATAAAAATATGACTTCATTACTAGGGTGTGATCAATCTGTACCATTAGAAGCAATTAGATGTTTACAAATGTTATCAATTCAAACAATTATCAACTCTGATTATAAATATCAAGTTAGTGAATATTTTTCTAATTTTAAAAATGTACATTTATTTTTTATCTACTGCTTAGAATACAAAATTAGGAAAAGAAGGATTCTTAACTGGATTGGGTAGTTTGTTAAATGTTGGTCCTGCCGTTGAAGGTAACAATGATGGCCGCTTTTTACCATTTTTCATCCTTGATTCACCACTACGTTTATTGAAGAAACACAAGTTGCCAATAATACCAATGCTTACCGGTGTTAATAAGTTAGAAACTAAATCAGGCATTTTAGGTAAGCATTAAAAAGTACCTATAATATTTGTATTATTATGATGATATTATTGACATTTTTTTTTAATAAAAGATTATTAATTACAATTTTATCACTTTCCATTAGAAAATCAGTATAATTCACTAAGTTTATTTTTAGGTAAATTCCGAAATCAAGTATTAGACAATTTAAACAAAATACCAGACTATGTTAATAAAGTACTGCCCCAGAAAGTGCTCAATACTAACACAGGTAATTCAATAAAATATTTGTTTATTAAAAATTATTTCACCATAATATGATGAACATAAACAAAGAGTGTAGGATAAAATAAAATACATTTTATACACTTTTATATTGGTATAAGGTCTTAAAATATAAATAAATATTGTAGGTACCTATATATATTACCATATGAATTAATTATTGAAAAAATCAAATTCAAATTGCCATTAAATTTATTGATATAGATTTTTAAGTTTTATACTTAAAAGAATCAATATTTTAAAATATAGAAAACACAGCTTTTAATGTGGTATTACCCACATCAGAACTTGGCCAAAAACACAAATTAAATTTCCATGTTTTAAAAAAAGGTTTGTAATGTATGCAGTATGCAGATTGAGTAAGGAGCAAAATCATATTCATCAGGAAAAAACAACAAAAATAAATGACTGATTATAACAGATTTTCATTTTAACTAGAATTAATTTAAAACAGTTAATAATTTAATATCACATGCTGAATTGCAGGTTTATTCAAAAACGGAAGTGTAAATAATGCTCTAAAGAACTTATTTGAGAATATTGATTACTTAAAATTATTCACAACAAAACTTGAAACTGGGGTTAAAGAGATTACAAAAGTTATGCAGGTAAGCAATAAAAAATTATAACATTCATAAAATATTTATTTTTTTACTATAAAATAAATTGTTTAGGGAACAACAGACGCATTATTCAACTTACCGGCTTTTTTTACATCACATTTATGGTCAAAACGTAGCAGTGCATACTTTTATAGTTTTGAACATAAGCCTAGTATTAAATCTCCAGGGAAATGGTTTTTGCCAAACATATTGGGTAATCCCAATAAAGATGTACCTCCTAAAAATGAAGGAACAAATTCTCAACATGCAGAAGATAATGGTATCGTATATATATATTTTTTGAAAGGATTATAAAAAAAATAATTGATTGCACATGGATGAATAAATAGGAGAGCCAGGCCATGGGGATGAATTGATATATTTGTATGATGTGAGGTCTCTTGAAGGTAAACAGATTTCAGGAACTGAACTAAAAGATAAGAAAGATATTGAAATGAGAGATAATTTTACATCATTAGTAGCAGAATTTGTAAAGAATGGGTAAATATTAAATTTAACATTATAATTAGGTACATATTACATAAAATAATAATTGATTAAAATTTCAGAAAACCAAAATTAAAAAAATTAGGCGACGAATGGCCTTCATTCACTTCTTCAAAACAATCAGATTATGTTGTACTTGATGAGAATTCACGTATTGAAAATAAATTCCGTTTTTGTGAAATGGGATTGTGGGGTGGCGTGCCAGACATATTACAATCAACATACTGCAATTTACCAGGAATATCTGATATATTGAAAACAGTCCCAGATTTATTACAAAACGGAGTGCTAGGCGATGTAACAGAAGGGACAGTTAATTTATTATCTTTAAACACTATTGATGGACTAATAAAAAATGGTAATGGTAATGGATTATTAGGTACATTAGGAGTAAAAAAACCAGACGCCACTACAAAAACACCTAATTCAAATACACAAAAGCCAAATTATTTATTAAATGGTTTACTTGGATAGTACACTAAACAAATGATATTATGTTTTGTATTCTAAACTTAATTAAGACATAACAGCAATTACTAGTGAAAATATATATTTAGATTTTTATTTTGTCAATTGAATAATAACAATAATACAATTTTAATAATAATAAATTACATAATAGAATACAATACTTATTTTTTGTTTTTTTTTAAATCCTCAAATCGATTTAATAATTCGTCAAAATCAGTTTCCTCGTCATCGTCTTTACTTTTAACATCACCAGTAGGTATATCTGTAGGTACACTAGGGAGGTCAGGTAAGTTAGAAAAACCCATGTTTTTATTGGAAAAAATAGAATTTTTTGGAACAGGTTTAACTATATTAGCTGCTGGTGGTTTTGGAATCGGCTGTTGTTTGGGTACAGGCATAGTAGGTGTGGGTAGTGTAGATAATGAAGACGGCATTTCAAAATCCAAGGGAACTGAATCTAACATTGAACTCATAGTTTGCATATTCTAAAATTTATAAAAAAAAGTTCAAATGTGAATTATATTTATAGATTATTCCACTTACCGGATAATTAATAGGTGGTGCCTGAATCGGAGCCATGGGCTGTGATGGAAAACCAATAAACCCTGTAGGCCGTGTGACATTTTCATTAGTTGAATTTTTACCATCAAAAAGTATAGAATCTATACTATGAGTTTGTTCATATTCTTGCATTACCTAAAAAAAAATTTTAACTCTCATGAAAATCAAAAATTAATATAGTATAGACTTAGACCTATAAGAGAATTAGATAGCGGACTGGATAATAAATTCCTACAGGAACGATGAAGTCGTTAACATATTTATATGATATATATATTATCAATCATGCAATTTTGCCCTGTTGTCATATGGCTGCCAACTTCAATATTATCCTGTAGTCGGCTATCTAGTTGTTTTATATGTCTACTATGAGTATGGTATACTATAAAATTTGCAAATTAATTAAAAAAATTCCATTTAAAATCCCAAACACTTATTATAACTTTATTTTTAGTATTGAAATAATTGAAATTTACAATAAACATTAAGAAATTATCACAGTATTGAGTATCAGTAGTTGTTCTTACTTGTAAGTCAGGTTCATAGGGCACATTGTAATTTTTGGAAATTTCAATTAAATATTTTTCCACTAATATCTTTGGCGGTGGTCTTAAGCTCAACTTATGCTTGAGTTTTTCAGATACAGTGTCCATGTTTTCTGATCTGCATGCCTTCATTATAATAAGATAATATGATATAAACAATAGGTATACAAGATCATTAATTTTTATTATAAACAAATAGTATAATATAACAGATAATAGTTATTGTCAACTCACTGATATTTAATTAGATAGCTATAGGTAAAATATAATAATATAAAAAGTATAACTTAGGGCCGTTCTTACAATGTCTGGTTAAAGTTAACAGTCACTTAACTGGCGGAACTCTGTCAGTAATAAAATCTGTTATCAGCCAGTTAGTGTTAACCAACACTTAACCAGACATTGTATGAACCAGCCTTAATCCTTAATTACATTTTTCAGACAACACTTAATGTATTAGTTTTTGATCGATTGAAAATTATTATTTAATTTAAATAAAATAAATAAATATGATAATAAATATTTCATTGTTATTCATTATTATAAATATGTTATTATTAATGTTTGCTCATAATCTAAAAACATAATATTCTACATGTTACATACAAGAAACAACCTTTTTGATAAATATTTCTCCAATCAATTTCACCGATACATGGGTTTCAATAGTTTAATATAAAATTGTTATCATAATGTCCTTGTTAAAGTCTCTTTAATTTGTTAAAAAATAAAATTGTTTAAAACTCCCCTAATTAATAGATACTTAGGTAGACTAAATTAATAACATGCAAAAATTGAAAAAGATTGTTGTAAAGGCAATTTAGTAAGAGCTTATATGATAAAAAATATATTATTATTTACCGTGTCAACATAGTTTATAGTTTAAAATTATTGAAAAATATTTAAGAGAATAATCAACTTAATACTGTAATTATATTAATTAATTAATTAATTTTATAGCAAATGTATTATAAAATTGAAATATAATTATTCCGGATGGATTCTGGTAGAAGTAGCCCCATCCTGCTCTCCTTGTCAGTTTTTTGTTTGATTTAAAAATGTTTCATGGGCAGTACTGTTAAAATAATAGCCAGTTTGTTCCTAACATAATCTATACAACATTATATCACCAAATCTTGTTTGTTATTTTTCTTACTAATTTAACTGTAAAAATTAAAGAGTGTTAAATAAGGTACTTGGCAAATAAATACTAAACTATACATTTTTTCTTACTGTGTGTTACATTGGACATTAAAGTATGTGCATGTTTTCATATGTATTACTATTATAGTTTAGACTTAAAACAAAAAAAAAATGCAAAAATACCTACAAAAAATATAAAAATTTACCAAAATTGATAAAATAATTAAGTTTCAACCAAGAATTACCAAAAAAATGCGAAATTAAATTCTGTGTCGCATAAGTCAAATTTATATTAAGAAGAGCCTCGAATGTAAGCATTAGAAAAAAGATGCAAATAGTTGAAGTCTTGGGCCCTATTCATCACATACCTAGTAAATACTAATAACTAATAAGGACTCATGTTATAAATAAAAGCTACACAGTTAAACATTTAATAAAGTACCTAATTCATTAAAATTGATGATTAATATATAGGTACTACCAATATTTACCTCAGTATACTTTTTACCGAATTTTTGAGTTAATTGATCAGATATCACTTTCATTTCACTGACATCAGCTTGAATATGAGGAGCCACCCACAACAAACTGGAAACTGATTCTTGAAGGGAAGAATCCAAAATTCTAAAAACAAAAAATTCAAATTATTAATCCATCATACAAAGTATCCTAAAAAATAACTATTAGTTTCGAGTAGTCTACATAAAATATTAACTTAATGATTCTAACAACTTTATTCACATTCAATAATAATTTATAACTATATTAAAATGAATACCTAAGTACCTTTAGTTGCACAATATGAATGCAAAGAAATTAATGGTCCCTTTAAAAGCTATTCTATCAAAACTTTGATATATTTTGTATATGTGTAATAATAATTTAATTGCAGGTAAACTAAAAGCTCCCAAAAACAAAAATGTACCTAATATAGATTAAGTAATTTACTTTGATTGTTGTAGGAGACCAAATCTGGATAACAGGGCGTCACAAAACATCTCAACGATTTCCAGTGCTTCAACAAAGTAATCTTCGCGTATGATGTGTTCGACTCTTATTTTGGCACGTTCACTCTTCCCAGCTGCTACCATATCTGCAATTTCTTTACGCGCTTTTTGAGCTAGTTCAGTTTTCTTTTTTTCCAGTAACTTCAGGCGATTTAATGCCAGTCTCAAGTTGGTCTTGAGTTTCGAATAATTGGCGTCCGAAGAAAACATTGTGAAGCGTCAAACGGTAATAATTAATAAATTACAATGAAAATGTACAAAACAGTAATGAACAGTAAACAGGTGGTTCAGGAAAATTCGAAATCCTAATTTCTGACCATTTTCCTACTTGCCAAGAATCAAGATTACTCACAAGTCACAACAATCACAACTTTAGTCGGAGTACGGGCCGCGGGCGTTATAGCCAGAGATAAAACCCAGTGAGTCACAAGTCATAACAAAAAACGATTATCACGGCGGCCATGAACATAAATAAATAATATTATAGCAGTACAGAACCACAGAATAACCATGAACAAGAGAATGTTTTGCACAAAACAATATCAATTATATAGTGCTGGGCGCTGAGGCCAATAGATAAGAAACGGGACTTCTTCAAAGTTCAAAGGAAATCCTGAGCGCTAGTAGTCAGTTAACTCGTAGATAAAAATATTATGCTATATCAAATTTGAATATTTAATGTATTCGCTTTTTCGCTTATAATATTTTTTTGATTAGTAGATATTATTCGTACCAAGTAGCATACCTACTAGCATACAATCATAAGCCTTAGTTTATAGATCTACTATGCATACAATATACATATTTCATTTGAATATCAGACGATTCGTCCGGCTCCCGTCATTTCGTCCCGTTAAAAAAACAAGCAGTGCTGAGTCCACGGACGTTTCGCCGCATCAATATTACATTAAGATGGGACATTGGTCCCCCAGTATTTTTCTATACAATTTAAATCATTATAAGTAGGGCTGGGATTTTAACGCCCTAAAAAAACCCGAAAAAATGTCCTAAAAAAAAATGCTTTTATGACCTAAAAACTCTAAATAATGCCCTAAAAAAATGCTTTTATGATCTACAAATTTTTTTAAAGGTATAAATTACAATAAAAAGTTTTAAAAAATGCTTTATAAAAATCTATTACAAGTGTAAACTGTAAATACATAGTTTTAGTATAAATCTAAAAAAAAAGTTGATTGTCCGATAATATAATACGAATTACGAGTAGGTACTTATAATCTGTTATTTTTATTTAAAAACCATGTTGGTGTAAAAATCTTAAAATCTTAAAATAAAATTTCAAATTCATACACTTGGTTTCCAAAAACTCAAAAAATGCTCCAAAAACTCTAAAATGCCCTAAAAAATTAAGAAAATGACTTAAAAACTAAAAAATGCCAAAAAATGCAAAATAAACTTTCTTATTCTCATTCAAATGTACATAAAACAAATTCGCGACAAGACGAGCATTGCACAGTAAGCTTTGAAAAACAATGCAAAGTGCATCGAAATCCCAGCCCTAATTATAAGTATAAAATGTCAGTATAATTGATATTAATAGAATTTTAAAATTTTAAAATATTATTAACCTATTACCTACATACTACAATATAAGCTTTCAACAGTCAAATTATTTTTTTTTTTAAATATTAATAAACTATATAAGAATATAATAAATTTAGGGACAATAGAAATACATTTACATGCAATCTATAACATCCAGATTCATACACTCAAAAAATTACTAAATTGACATAATAATAAATGTAGCTTATTAAAGAACGATTATTCAGAGCAGGCCTTCTCGAGACAGTGTATCAAAGCTTAAGATATTTATATTTAAGTTAATAAAAAAAATTAGGAAGGAGAACATGGGCGCCGGCAGGCAAAAGTATTTAAAGAAGCAAAAAGGACAATTGCATGACAACTAACAGAAAAATCTATTCACAATATTAGTTTATTAGGTAACGAATCAGATGTCTCCTTGGAGTAGCTTGAAGTAGTTTAGAAAAATTACGTAAATATAACATCTTATTAAATTATATCAATCAATATAAATTCAAAAAAATATGATCAAAGGTCCACATTTGCTTCAAACTAAATTCGAAGAGAGCCACGAACTTTATTTAACTTTATTAAGGAAATAAAAAAATTTTTGATTTTTGATTCTATTGTGTGTATAGGACTACAGTCAATTTTGAATCACAAACCAAAATGTGTAGTCTTTATTACCACTCTAGACTTCATGACTATATGTATAGGTATCTATAATTGTGAGTCTTCATCTTTAGATCAAAGTAAATATAATATTATAATATTATGGGAACGATTCTAGTTTAACAACCTATAGATTTTTTAATTTTTTTTTTTCAAAATGTGTTTAATAAGAATTTTTTTAAGAAGACTGACAAATGTTGTTTTGAAGTTATTGACAAAAACTTAAAAAATACCTTTTTTTGTAACTCGCATTTTTTTAAAAAATACTTAGAATATTGAATATTTAAAAAAATTTTTTTTCAAAATGGGTGGTTTTTAATTCTCAATAGATTGGTCATTGGTAAGATCAACACTTGCCTAATAGTAATTACTTCTTAAGTTTTATACGTTTATACAACTGCGCACAACGCTGTACTGCCATCATACACAACACCTATGTAAAGACAAAAGTAACATAAGCATAACCATAGCACTCGGAAAACATGGCACTCTTCGTCTACTGGCTCAGCCCCCAGACCTCCTGGGGCTAAAATAGCCAACCCGGGGGGAAATCGTAAAATCGTAAACATTGGAAGGCTATAACTTCCAAAATAATGGATTACATACATTGTATTAAACATTTCAATAATGCATCAAAAAATGGTTATCGATCACGGTTTGAGATAGAAGTCTAGAAATATTAAGGTGTAATAATCTAAGACCGTGAGGTGTATCACGCAAATTTACGTAGATTTACCTTACCCGTAAAATTTACCAGGGAAATTTACTAGGCTCCCATCTCTTAATTCATGCAATTAATACACCTTGGATGCAAGCGATAAACACCACTATAAGCGATAAGAGTCACCGATGAGTTATCAGTGATAACGAAAATCTCATTCGAGTATTTGACCGCATTGTGAATTTGTGAAAATTACAGTCCAAAAATCCTGAATTTTGACCAAATCTATTTACATAAATATTAGTTTTGAAGTCAATTATATAAAATGAAAGGTCTTTTGGCACTGAAGAAGATTCAACATCGGCTGTACACAGAGTTCGACACCTTTTGCCACATGATACTCGGACATACACCTCCACCTGGTTAGCATATTTTTTTTTCTAGACCTCACTCATAATAATTATTATTTGTTGAAAGCTCGTCCTTTACGCATATTATTAATATTATTTTGTTCTATAATTTTTAGCTCTTTCTTTTGCAAGTCCAGCAGAAACGCTCAAACCGTCCACCCCAGCTCTGACAAATGTTCAACGGCTATTTGGTGATTCTATTCTTTGGGCTGTACCCAAACATAGGCGTACAATTGAGAAAAGACTAAAACGCAAATTTGGCTGTATTGATGATTTTTACAAAATGCTCTTACCTCGCACAGATTTACTTACATGTAACCAATGTGGTCATAGTTATCAGAAACGTCATTTGTGTCGTGAGTGATGATATGTCCAACTTTTTTAACTTTATAATATCATGTTCATTTTTTATTTTAGCAAATTGTTACAAGAGGGTTAAGGATGAAACTACAGAGTTTCAAGAAGTCATTGAAAAAGAATTGGGATTAGAACCCATTGAACATGAAGTAGTGGTTCTTTATAAAGGAGAGAGAACCAAACAACCAGTAGAAGAACTTTGGAAAGTAAGAGTAGTAAGACTATTTGCCTATAAAATATTGTTAAATTATTAACATATTATTTTATTGTAGGGTAAAAGAATCATTGAATTAAAAAGAGAAAAACCGTCTTGGTTCAGTAGAAACTTATTACAAAGGACCACTATTGGCAACTCTGATTCAAAAGACGTACAACCATCAGAATTAGCTTAAGCCAGTTTTTCTTTTTAGTATAAAATGTGTTGCAATTTTATTAATTTCCATTCACCTTGATCAATATTTCAATTTAATCAAGTAGAATTTGTTACAATTATAAAAATTAACAAAATAAAAAGTATTTATATATAAACAATGATTATCAATTGCCACAAACGTTTTCAATAGTGCCCAGATAAACTATCAATTATAGTTTCTGGTTCTTCATCGGGAAAATGACTGCTTACATGCTCAACTAATTTATCAAACATTTTATCGCCTTCAGCTCCCACAATGTATAATTTACATAAAGGGCATATACTATGGTTATCTGGTTTTGCACGAACCCCACAAATACAAGCTGTGGTGGAATCAAAAGTAGAATTTGTTAATGTTTCTGCATCTCGATACTCTGCGGAAGGCTTTATAACTTTGACTTCTATAAAACAAAACAAAAAACAATATCAATTCATTAATTTGTATTGGATTCAAATAAATATAAAATAATGACTTACCCTCGACAAGTAGATTAAATCTTGAAGTGATATTAAAAATTAAATCATTTTGATCAGCAAGTAGATGTTTAGCTAAGGTTAATTTTTCTTTGTATGCATTGAGTTCAGACAATAACATAGGCCAAGATTCATCATCGGAACTATACTGAAGACTTATTAAATCATCTTCCGTATCCTAATAAATATTTAAACTTTATTTGTCATTTTATCTAATGTAATAAATATACCTTGACATAAAGCAATAAAATAATAACTTGTATTAAATCTAAAACTTAAACCAATTCAGCAAATTTAAAACAAAGTACACTGGTTTGTGTTGAAGAATTTCTAGAGTGATGCATAAAACAATTCTTTTAAATAGGAACTTAATGATTTGATGCTAAACAATTGTAAATATTAAATCAAATAAACATAGAAAAAATCAGTTTGCAAAAATCTTGGTAGATATTGTACTATGCAAATGGTGTCGAACAGTATGCACAGGGGTTCAATTTAACTTAGGAAAATGTAGGGATAAATAACTTAATTATTGATGCTTATTTGGTGTAATATAATTTTGTTTTGTGGTTATAACTTATAAGGGTAAGTTGGTGTATACTATTTAAGAAATGAACTAGTTGATAAGATAAACTTGTCAGTAATATAAACTATAATAGTTATTAAAAATGAACAAAAATATACAACATACCATAATGCAATTAGAATTCATCTTGAAATCAACATCTAAAAAAAAAATATTTAAGTATTTAGCTGTAAATGATTTAACAAGATAATTCAGGATTGTAGCTATTTTAAAATTATATTTAACAGCGTAAGTTCATCCAATGAGATGATTCTCTAATTTGTCTAAACCTAACAACAACATTAATGGGTATCTCAAATTTGTTTTTTTCATTCAAACATGCATATCATTGATATACAATTAAAGTTAAAATAAATATTTGTCATCCATATTGAGTTGGAAATCAAAGATTCAATGGATCAAAAATTAATAATTATAAAAGACAGAGATTTTGGTAAATTGCCAAAGATCTAATATATGGCCATTCAGCATATTACTGTGTTCTAAGCAAAAGCAATAAGAGAATAGTGAGGACAATACTGATGCTATCATTAAAAATATTTTTATCATCTGAAAAAAGAGTTCCAGGAGTACAAAGGGAATTCAACCAACAAGTTTTAATTATTTTTGCAATTTTTCTGTACAGTGAAATTATAAATGTGTTATATTTACCAGATCATTCTATAAAATATTTAAATTACTTAACTATAATGAAAACTAAAAGAATCAATCAATAAATGCAAATTAAAAATGATTAAAAGGTACATCAAATATTTTAGGTGGTTATCAAAAATCCATAGTATCGTACATTTTGCCTAATATACCCTTGAATATAATTAATGAGATCTACCACATTTTATTTCAAAGGTATCTATTTAATATTATTTTGATGATCAAAAAAATGTTTTGCTCATACCATTGTACTTTAAATAGTTGTCTATGATAGCTAAAGAGTTCTTCGGCTTGATTTTATCATTTGATTGAACTGCAGGATTATCTAACGATGACAATGTTGTCCACAATGTACGATTTTCATTTGTAACAATTTTTAAATATTCGACCAACTGTTGTTTTTTACAAGATAATTCTTGTACATTAACTTCTGAAGATTTGTTGTTGACTGTTTGACATGTACAGTGGCTTTTTATAGAAACATTTTCTTTTTCAACTATGTCTAATCGAGACTGTAGCCTTTCACAACGCTCTGCCAACGTTTGGAGAGCCACACGCAATGCAGCGACTGACCCAAGATCGTCTGTTATTTTTCCAGATGTTGTAGTGGACATGTTATTCAAATATATTAAACACAGTGAATGTTTTATAAAAATGTAAGTACTAAACAGTATTATTTTTACAAAAGCTATAACCAAATAAAATTAACATTTAATAAGCCAACAAACCGGAAACAAATAAGATGTGTTTACAAGTTGGATACTTGTGTGTATATATAAAATAATATATTACTTAAAAGAGCCAAAATAAACAAATAATTAGTTAAGTATGTTATTATTTTCTGCAGGGGTAAAAAAAAGTAAAATAATATTGTAAAAAGTGTAAACTAGAAAAATAATTCCTGTTGATTTGATACTTATCACCTGAGACACTTTTTGATAAAGTGATAACCTCAGTACTGCATATTTAGTTGTCTATGGATTTCTTATTAGGGGTTTTGATAAATTTTTTTTCGGTATAAGATTCAAGATGTGTTTAAATATTGTTCACAACACGCACACATTTAACATTGACAACTAGCTGATCAGTGGAATTGAACTTATAATATCATTTAGATTTAGTAATGACTAATGAGTAATGGCATACGAATATGGGCGTGGTGCGTCTCTTGTAATTAATAAACATATAGTTGGTATACTTCCCCCCGGCACCACCACTTTTATTATTCCTCAAAACATATTAGATAGGTACCACAAGCAAATATACGTTTTATAACTTATTATAACTAATTCTTTTAAAAGTTACAATCACCCGAGCCAAAATAGGCCATTCTCGCCTAACTCACATTTATCTAATCAAAAAAGAACCTGCACCAATATGTGATACCTGCAACGAAGCTTTTACAATAGAGCACATTGTCATCACCTGTCCCAAATTCATCGAAGCTCGCAAGATATTTCAAAATCCTATTTCACTTCACCAAGCCTTCAATGACGAGAACACGGCCGCAATCAGTTTATTCTTCACTAACATAAAATCAAACCACCCATTGTAAATACCCTTTTATGTAAAATGTACCAAATGTATTATATGTAAAATCGCTCTCTCTTAAATGTAGGCTAAAAATCTTTGTTATTGAAGCCTTAATAAACTTTATAAAAAAAAAAAAATCTTAAGCGCCCGTGAGTGGTAGATTTTTTCAGTAAATTTAAGTCATAACTATTAATATTTTTTTTAGTACCCCAATATAGACAACAACAAAGTATAGTCTTAAATGTTTTAAGTTTGTTATTTAAAAATTTACTCTACATAATTATACATAGATTTATTTTTTGTCTAAAATAAGTTCTAAATTATAATTATAACTAGAATCACAGAAAGAAATAAGCTGACGCGCAGAAGATATTCAGAATATTCAGACATCTATATTTTCAGCGATATGAACAAAATACATTAAGGATTTAACATTGTAAGTAAACATTTTTTATTTATCTTCATATTTTGATAAACTACATAATTCAGAATATTTTTTCATGTATAACATTGTTTTCTTGTTAGTTATGTCTGAGGACAAATATTCTTAGCAGTAGGTATATGATTTTGATTTTGATTCAAAATTTCCACCAATACTAGCATTATTAACAATTAATTGTTTGGACACACAATTTTAAATATTTTTGTCCATGGATGTAAAAAAACTCACTGGAGTCAATATGTTTGCTAACAAGGAATTCCCAATTCAATATTATACAAGACTGAAAAATAAATAGGGGTACACTAAAATATACGAAAATTTAGTAGTACCCAAAGTGATGGAGTACCATGACTAAATGTTCGTATATTTTAGTGTACCCCTATTTATTTTTCAGTCTTGAATAATATTGTCAATATTGAATTAGGAATTCCTTGTTAGCGAACATAATGACTCCAGTGAGTTTTTTTTCATTCCTGGACAAGAATATTGAAAATCGAAATGTCCCAACAATGCTAAAATTACTAACATTGTTGACAAAATGATCAGTATGCAACAGAAAAACGGAATGTAGTCGTCGATATATTCATCTTCTTGGTCACAATAACTGCAATTATAAAAAAAAATTGATTACAATATTCCTATAATTATTATTCTTCGCTGACATGTGAGTATATTATATTATTATGATTCAAAATGTCATAGTATAATAGGTATAATCTGATACCTATATTTGGTCGGAGTTTTGTTTCGTGGGATATCGATAAGTAGTGGTCTAATTTGTGAGCCCCCCCCCCCCCCACCTGTGCTATTGTGGTGTACTGATGTGTAGTTTGAGCAGTTTACCACCGTACGCGGTGGAAGTAAAATAGTATAGAAATTGATATCGAATCGTGTATATAAATATGGCGATCATAAAATCTACAGTTCATTGAATTGTTACCTACCAAAGCACTGCAGAGCAATCAAATTAGTATTTTAATGTATTCAGTATTCTGCCTTGAGCTGCATGATTATTACAAATCGTTACCGTTTATAATAAATACTCATATTTACTGTATTTATCACTACCCGAGGTTTCCCGGGTAGTGACTTCAATAATTTAAAGTAGGTAGACGAAGAATTATTTAAAAAAAATTGACTTGGTATAAAATTATTACAAAGTCACAAACTCACTGGGCGTAGGCGTCCATGTCCTCTGAGGTTTTGTTCGAATTGGGTGGCTGTATCTTCTGCGGGATGTTCCCGTCATCCAGTGACTGCGTACTCTGCAGCTGCTGCTGAGGCGGGTTCGTCGCATAGCTGCCAGTCTCAGTAACCACGGTCTGGTCATCAGAGTGACCGAGAGTAGGCTGCGGCACAAAGTCAGTCCCTCTGACCGCGGTCTGGTCATCAGACTGACCAATAGCAGGCTGTGGCACCAAGTCAGTCTCTGTGACCGCGGTGTAGCCGTCAGAGAGGCTGGGTGCGGGCCACGGCGCCGGCTGAGTCCGAAAGATCGGGCCAGCGATCGACGACAACCTATCGATTGCGAACACTGCGGGCGCGGCACCGGCAGCAGGCGCCAACGCGAAAAACGCTACACACAAGAAGGCGTGCATATTATAGTCGTTTTTATTATGCAAAACTGCGCACGTATACAAAATATGAGGCCGTAACGGGAATACCATCGAAATAGCTTGTTATCGTAAGACGCATACACGTTATTGATTTAATAAATATTGGGATTTAATCGCCTATGTTACAAAATAATATGATAATAATTTCTGGTAAGCAATGTCAAAAGGATAATCATACTGGCCTTTGAATTAGAGCTTGGTTTGTAAATAAAGTAATGGATCGATGGCTCAGTGTACATATTATAGCGGAGACGGTGAAAAATTAACTACAAGAGTGAGTTGACACACATCAAATAAAATTTATAAAATGTATGTTGGCCGAAACGAAATATTGCCTATGCATCAATCATATAATTATCTATTATCATCCGTAAAACAAAAATAGAGTGATTTAAACTTATATCATATATCATTTACATATTGCATATTATAGTACCTATATGGCTGTATATTATGATTTGTGAATATTGTCCACATGTTATCAAATATTCAAATAGATAAATAAATAATACATTTTTAGGTTCAAAGTATAATAGTACTTGGTATATTTTTTAAGCTTTTCTGATATCTCTAAAAACAATTTCTGAGATTTTCGTAAAAATCAATAGAGTAGTTTTTGAGTATATAAGCTACAAACATACATTTGGTTTTAAGGTGTAGTTAATACATAATCGAGGCTTTTACCTCATTTGCCCGAGTAGACAATCAAAACCTTTTGAATACAAAAAAAAAATTTTAATGATTGTGTCAAAATAATATTATGATATAGCAAACTTATTGTACAACATTTTCAAGTATAGATTCATTATTTTTCTTGAAAAATGTTTATGTTTTAGTAAATAACAACATTTTGGCAATATGTATAATATATATACATAGTAGTAAGCTCATCAATATCACTGTTTTGAGTTTTCTCAATATATGAATGATTGTATTGAATATAAATATTTACGTTAGTAATTTATTTAGTTTTTGCATTTTCTTCATCCAATTCAATTACATAATCATCATTGTCGACGATCCTTACGACCATTGAGCGATATGATCTGTAATATTTGTCTTTAAGTTGATGACATCTGTCGTATATCTCAAAATAGACAGGTGGAATTGGTTCGACTTTAATTTTATCTAATATTAACGAATTGCAGTAATTTAACATATTGTTGCCTAAGAAATGTGTACTGACCGGAGACATCATCTTAATCATACAATCCAAACTCGATGAACAATTTTTACGAAGAAATTCTAAATAATATCGAACCTGAAAAAAATAAAATACAATTAGTAACTATTAATTATATTTGTATTATTTTCGATTTAATTATATATCTATAATTTTAAGAAATTAAATTATAATATTAACAATTAATTGAATACAATTATTGAAGACTATTATTTTGTTTGTAGTCGGAATAAATATAATTGTACATTGAACTTGTAGTTAATAATATATAGTATACCATTCCCACAATATCCGACATATAATGCGACAAGTAAAAAAAACGATTACTATAGTTTTGCCGTCTAAAACATGTTTTGTCCCATGTTAACTTGGTTACTCTATAAAAATATACTATACCAATATTGACATAATGGCTTAAATTTATTAAGGATTATAATTTAAAATTAATTTGTATTATTATTTATTCATTGTACATTATAATTTATAGTACATTATTACCTAATGGATAATTACTCCTAATAAAAAACATATTTCCAAGTCGATTTTAGCTTAGATCTCAGCTCTGCATGGTCTCTGAATCCTTCCACACTGATTTTTTGCATCATATCATTACCCTACGGTCTACACCAAGGTGAACAAAGCAACAAGTGACTAACAACCGCGATCTCTATGTTATTCGATCCAGAAATTTTCGTTATTTTAATGCATTCTTGATTCATCTACAACTATTTCAGGATACATGTGATACTTTTTTCAAACATCAACGAGAACGACTGTCTTCTATTATAAAGGTTGAATTTTCGGTTATACTTAAATTTACAGGCAACTCCCTTTTTTAACATTTATTTGAAAATATATAATCTGTAAAGATATTATTATAATAAGCATGTTATGTAATGTAAGGTATTTTGAAACCTACCTAATAACCTACTTTACCCGAAAAGTATGTAAGAATTATATAATATAAATCTATAACATAACAATATTACATCTATAAATAGGCTCCAGGTTGACTGAAAACCCCCCAACTATAAAAAATCCAGTTAAGTAAATAGGGGACTACAGGCAATGTGGCTGAATCCTGGAGCGCTAATGGCCAATGGAAATTTCTGTTGGCTTAAAAAATTTTTTTAAAACAACGGCCATTCCAGAATACTGAGTATTTTGTTTTATAGGAAAGGTGCTATTAGATTTTTCATCAGGGCCGAATTTTTATATTTATGACACCGAAGTATAGTATCCAGAACATATAAGTAATACATACCTAATATATAATTAATTAAAATATAGATGATATTGTAGAGGTACCTGTAAGTCAAATATCCGGAATATAAAAGTCATATTCAAATATCCAATGAAACCCATAGTAGGATTATACATATTGATAATATTTTTATGAAGTGGAGTGATCAATTTGTTATTCAAAACATTAATTCCACAGCTAGGTTTCAAAAATGGTAATGTAATTTTGTATCCTAAAAAATTCACACAATACTTAACTAGTTTTGTATATTTTTCAATTTCTGTGAACAACTAAAATTGATTAATTTACATACCTACGTAAAGCTTAAATACTTGTAAGTTTTAATAAATTATGCTTTGGTACGGTTTCTATATTATTATTCATTAACCGTAGGTACATACTTATATTTGTATCATAATAGGCAGAATTTCTTTTAAAATAATATTTTAAATGCATTTACCTGTGCAGTAAATGACAGCATCCAAAGTCTGCTTAGTTTTGTCCTTAAAATAAACAGATTTCTTAGAAAATAGCTCAACGTCTGGTTTATGTATAACATTTTTTGGAAATTCTTTCTCGATTAATTGAGGCTTATGATGACTAAAATAAACCTGTAAAAGAAAAATAATTTTAAAAACGGAATCATAGATACATCCGTCATCCACACATCATCATAAAATCAACACAGTCTATTATTTTATAAAATATTATAAAGTTAGCTGTAGTTACTAGTTAATTGTATTTAAGTACCTAAAAGTTCTTAAGTAAATGTATAGCCAGATTACTTAAAATTGTATTCAATCTCTAGTATTTATCAACTATAGTTATAAATATATTTATTAAAACAATGTTTCATCTGATGTACACATTTATGTTATACGAGATGTTCGTTTATAACCGTATATTCGTTGCATCTAGGTAGTTTTTGATCAGAATAAGAGGCTTATACTTTGAATTAATTTTTTTACAATTTTCAATTTTAAGGTAATTTTTTCGTTATAGTGTTTTTAGGGCATTTAACACTAAAATCCAGATTCCAACCCAAGCGGTGACGGAAAATTAAATGGGAATAATTAATTTTTTCAGATTTAAAGTCCACGTACATAAGATTGTCCTGCAAACCTTTTATTGAATATAATTAAAAAATATTTTTCGATTCAAAACTTGCTTTAAATAAAAATTTTAAGTACATTTTATAGCTGCAATATTTTAATTTTTTTGGGTATAAAACCAGTTTTTATAGAATGTTTTGGGTTTGTACATTTTTATAGTATATTTGCTAATTATAACTATTACAAGCATCCAAATTATATTTATTCTTATAGTTTGTTTTTTTCCATACATAATATATAACGATAAAAAGAATGATGAAATGCATTTTTTCCAAAAATACGAAGTTCTGAATCATAGGGACGTCCATTGACATCACTGATATGTCTATAATACATTTATGTAGGGTTTATAATAATAGTATATTACAGAATAATATTATCTTATACAGGTACAATATTATCATAATAAATTATAATTATGTAGACATTGTTTAATGGTACTAACCTAGTACTTACCTAATAATGCTAAAGACTTTTTATTTCATTAACCAATGCCAAAATGCAATGCAATAAAAATATATTTCTGAAATAATGCTACTTTATCGGAATTTTGCGCGTGGCTAGTGGGTAGGCCTTGTATAACCCCGGGCCTACCTACAAATCTATTGTTTAAAAATAACTTTTCCAAACAATTTTTTATTTTTAAATTCTAACGAAAAATAAACCTTGGCTACATCTAAGTATATAATTAAAGATTAGGCTTACCCATGAAAAATATCCAGTTACAAGTTTACAACCATTTGTAAATATTTCACTAAACTCAGGAAATCAGATTGATTCTATAGGTACCTATAGCTATGAATATGAATAAAATGAAATATGAACGCTACAGATGCGTACATTTATAGAATAAATTATTATAATAACATTTAATCTTATAATGTACCTACTTACTTTTGCAATTATTTTTGCATTGTACTTGGAAGTTTGATTTATTTTTATATTTAATGTAACTAAATAACTTATATTAAATAATTTATACTAATTTATTTTATACAAGGTTGTTTGAGTTTACCTGATTTGCAACTTTCGATACATCCGAGCAAATATCAACGCCAGAAGCACCACTGCCAATTATGAGAACATTCAAGTTTATAAAATGTTCAGGTATCCTATAATCATGACTGTGTATCTGAATGCCGTCAAAATCATTATTCCCAGGAATATCTGGGGTTAAAGGCAATGCGTTATGTCCATTACACACCATTACTGAATCATAGTATTCAGTCTGCGATGTTTTTGTTTTCAAGTCTTCTACTGTCACCTGCCAGTTGTTCGTTAATTTTTCAACTGAAGTCACCAAACTACAAAACTACGATAAATAATTAAGATCACCGTGTAAGCCATATCAAAGAAATATTACGCTATAAAATAAATGTATTTAAAATTTAAAGCATAGTTAAAACCCTCTATAGATAATTTTAAGATAATATAATATTATTTGGACACTTTTATAGCCTCTAGGCAAGTACTTTTAATATGTACCTATAAATTGTAGTTTGTTATCCTACTTGCATATCCTCACACCTAAGTTTATTGTCAATTGGACACAAGTACACAAATAACGAACATAAATTCTAATGTCTTAATACAAAATAACAAATAGGTCTAGTTTGTTTTTGTATACTTATGCGTTATAAATATTAACTTATAATACTTATGCTAGGTATGTAGAGAACTGTAGGGATAAGCATATCATTATGAAACATCGACTTAAATATACATTTATTGTAATAGGTTTACTGAATAGTGTACATCCTTACTCGAATATGCTTATAAAGTCCGAAATGTTCAGTAAATTGTTCAATATATTCTTGCACTTGCCAAGATTTCAAAAATGACACATTGTCTAAACCCTTATAAGGAAAGTTTGGAAAATCCATTAATTCTTTTGGTAAATTTGTCCTGAAAATTGTATAGGTATAACAAAGTCTTTACATTTAATTTATGTACCTAAACAATATACATAAAAAAAAAAAAAAAATACATACATTAGATTTTTATACATGCTTGTGTGAATTGGCAACCCAAATTCATCGAGTCCGGTTCGTTCATCGTACACCCAAGTTCCACCCACTCCTTTCGACCTTTCATAAACTACGGGTTCAAAATCATTTTCCAAACATCTTCTAGCTGAAGCCAAACCAGCAACCCCTGCTCCGATTATAGCCACTCTCATACTGTTAAATGTTAATTTATTACGACAATATTATAACTGAACATCAATTTTATCTCTGAAATTTGTAAAAATTATATCTTTATATTAAAAGAATAATTCCATATGTATATTTACATAATATGGTATACAGTTTACTGGATAATTCTATTATAAAAGAAGACTAATAGTTATTACGAAAATCTTATAATGGTATGAAAAAAAAATTTTTAATAGTTTTTGAATAATTAGGGCTTGAGGATAAAAGTATCACCCTGTATACGTATTACATAGTAATTTATATTTATTTAATTTTTATCTAATAATACGCGTACCTAATAAAATAATAATTGTGATTATATAGATGATGGCAATGGACAGATTGTTATTAGGGTAGGTACTACGTACCATGTACCTACTATAGCTACTATTACTTATTATACACTAATATACAATAGCCAATAGGTTATGTTAGCAACATTTAACTCACACCTACATATTTTGTATACTAATATATTCAGTGGCGGCTCCAGGGGGGGAGCTGGACGGGTCACGCCCCCCTAAATTTGTCTTGGCCCCCCCTTGGACGCCTAACCACAGGAGAAAAAATTCTTTAAATTTATAATAAAGTACACATTTTTAATGTAAGTTTGTTGAAAATGATATCTAATGTTTAAGTGTGTAAATATTAAATAATATACCTATACCTATACCTAGACCTATGATATTTATTATCAATTAAAATGAAAATCAATAATTATGTGAAAACTTACCATATGCAACACAATCTCTACAATAGAGTGTAAGACCCTACCCTATACTGAGCCTTGAATGGGAAAAAGACCGTGGATTGGGACTTCTTTTTGGCCCTACCAAATTTTCAAAGGCCACCAATGGGCCTCCCCAGGATAAAATTCCTGGCGCCGCCACTGAATATATTATAGATACGGCGTACACGTTCCCCGTAAGTACGTACAATTGTTTAAGATAAAAATAAAAATTTAATTAAGTCAAATTCTTTGTGAACAGTATATTTTCAAATAAAAATGTTTTTTTAAATTTCTATTTTTACTTATTGGTATCATATATTTATATATTAGCAGTCCATTTTACTGATGCTATATAAACCGGTATATAGCCATTACAAATAAAAAGTGATGTTTTAGAGGGCACACTGCAGATTATATACCAACCCATTGTTGGATATACCTACCCATTTATCATTTGGTGACTTAGTGCATGTACTATATAATATACCCTGTGCAAATAGTATGAGCATATATTATGCACGTATACGCTTGAATCTAACTTAATTTTTTTTTTAATTAAGCATTCTGTATTCTGTATTATTTATTAGGTATCAAATGTCAATGTATCATATGATATTTATAAATTATCTATAATTTATAAGTTAGAACCGTTTAACAAATAATTAAAATTTGTAATTGGCACTTATAAGTGTATAACATAACATATTGGTATAATTAATCATATTCGTGACCGTGAGTATTGTAATTTTTTTTTTTGATGAAATATTCGAGTTATATCTTTATAAGAGTGATAAGGATTGCCAAGATAATTATAAAAAAATATAAATTAAATGTCATACAATTTTAAATCTGACCAGCGAAATAGTCTTTAATACTTAGGTATACATAAATAAAAATGTACAGAACTGGGTAACAAAAAATGTATAAATTTGTAAATTTGTGAATGTTTGAAATTATTAGGTAATAGCTTTATAAAATAGTTTTTCGCTAGTAAAGCTATCGAAGAGTTAAATCTGAATAGTTCCGAGCTCAAAAAATCACAATATTCATTGCTTATGTTTGCCAAAATTAATCAATGAGCCTACAGTTTTGTTTACGAAAACTCAAAACACCACTACAAGTGCTAAGTAAGCAACCCCTTATTCTTCTGGTATCAAAAATTATATATACACAATGCACACAACATTTATATTTTAGACGGTATTCTCTGATTTCCTCATATACTGTTATAAGTTAAAATTAAAAACAAGATAGGCTCCTAAAATATTAAATTCTGATTTTTAATTTTTTTACCATTCACATACTTTTTTTTATTATTTTAAATAAAATAATAATGGTAAAGAAAAATATATTTCCTAGGTAAGTACCTATTTAATATTATTTAAAACACAATTGTTAAATATAACATAAGATATTAATACATTTTAAACTTTGTGGGGGTCTGTATGTTTATAGTTTATAATGAAAAAGTTCAAATGTTCCGTGTTCCAGTTAAGTAAGACCAACATATAGTTTTACAATTTTTCGTTTCTTTGTCTGGGCACACTGAAAACTGGACCTTGTATCACGGTATAATATTAAGAAAAAAATATTAAAATATTATTATTTTATTTAAATTGTTGTCATGTTATTATTTTTTCAGTATTATACTGTTATGAATTATGATATAAAATTATGTTGTGTGATATTGTGATTTGTGTGCTTAGATCATAAAGTATAATATGATCTAAGTTTGTGTGAATACTGTATAGAGCATAATATGATAAGATAGATATTAGATAATAATATATGTATTACAGTCTACAGATAATATAAAACACGATGGACTTACAATTTAACAATATTATTAATTACGATAGTTGCTGAAATCGAATGAAGGGTGTTGGGTAATATTAATAATAATTATTAGTTAGTAAATTATAATATTAAATCATTGTTATACTTAATCAAATAACTGTTTAAGGTACCTTTAAGCCCCAACGATGATAGACTCGCCTTCCGCCAATCGTTGCACAACTAATGCGATTACAATGTAAATGGCAAATCACAATACCAAACAATCGGCCGATTAATCGCATGTATCGTTAAACAATTATTGTAAAAACAGGCCGGTTATATCGAGTTCAATGTTATACTATTATATTGATTTAGGATCATTGGCCAGCAATCACGATATTGTTTATAATTTAATCATACTACTCTGAAATACTCGTATTCACTATTTACGGAGACGACTCGCGGCTGTATCTAATGTGGGTGCCCACTGTGCTTAGTTCGAGTAGAAACGCCCTGTGTCCTGTGATAATATCGAAAACTGTTGTTGCGCCGACCATAGTATAAGACCGAGTGGCAAGTGATGATTATTGATAACATTTCACCATCGCGGCTAATGCAGCCCGTTATATTGGTCGCGTAACACTGTTTTAATAGCCAACATTTTACGTACAATATTAATGTATGTATTTGGCCAAATGGCCAATAACATTACAATTTCAGAATACAGTGATCCATCAGGTGGGTGGGGAAAAAGCAAACCTATCTTACGAATTTACCTACAATAATATACGATAGGTATAGTTAGTAATAATATATTATTATAATAATTTAAAAAGCAAATTCCATCGCTTGTCACTAATCGAGTTCAAATAATAAATGCATCGTAAATATTATCATCGAAATGACTGTTTAGCTGCTGCAGATAACATTAACACAATATTAACAGAAATCATGTACGTTATAAATTTTTTTTTATAGCCCACGCGTGAAAGTCAAATGTTGCACTTATCGAGAACCTACACTATACAGGGTTCTTAAATGAACACACGCATTATTTCGAAAAGTATTAATGTTTTTGAAAGTAATTTTTTTACACAATTCATTACAAAAAAACATTTTTGAAATTAAATTATATTCTTTGGTGTTATTATTTGCTAAGTTCTAAGGTTTCAATCTATTGGCCATTACTCTGATTACCTAAAGTCCTAAACATTAAATAAGTATTTAATATAGGTAATTATAAATTACAACTTTACGAGTAACCAATTAACTGCTAGGTTAAAATTAAAATTTAATATATACCTACATATCAAAATTCTCAAAAAAATATACTGCTTTGAAATATGAAATAAAAAATTTATATCATTCAAATAAAATAATGTATCATTTGTTTTAAAAATATTTTTTGTAGTGAATTCAAATTATAGGAAAAAAAAATATTTTCAAAAATCGTTGGTTATACTCTTAGGTATTGTTAAGGGAATCGGCGTGTATACATATGATAATATGCAATAAGGGAAATAAGCCGAATAAGCACTAAATCGGGGACATACGATTATGCAATGTGTATACATACTATGTATAATATACTGAGCTTAAGCTATATAAGCCTTTTAACACCGATTATTGATTGACAATTTATCTTGGACTATAATAATAATTTTTTTTTTTATAATTCACAAATATTTATATTTTTAAATTATTTTCACACTTAATTGTCTGTTAATCTTAATTTTATATTGTTTTATTCTTATTATGTAATTGTCAAGCTATCATAGTTGTACTAGCGGCTTTTATAATAATAAAAAAAAAAAAAAAAAATTATTTTCATGATAACTAATATGGGCAATTTACGAATATTTGTCCTTGATGATAAATATATCATATTTCTATTTGCAATTTTTTTTTTGTAATAATAGATATATTTTATATTTCAATTCTATTAATAGGTTGTAATTCGCGTTGGCTTTTGCTATGGACAGTATAATTCAAGCAAAATGTAGTTTACCGATTATTCTTCCAAACGCTTATGATTTATGAATTATGAACAATAAATAAAAACAAGTAGGAAGTAGGAAGAAAATTGGTTAAAAAAAGCAAAAAATTTCCTTAGCAGAGCGTGGTTTCGATCCACGGACCTCTGGGTTATGGGCCCAGCACGCTTCCACTGCGCCACTCTGCTATGGCTCTAAAATGATAGAAATGACCATATTTATTTTTAAAAGCCCTTATTTGGGGATGTATTTTTTTAAAGTCAATGATAAATTCGTAATAAAATTAGAAATGTTATAAAATCTCAAAACATTGAATAAAAATGAAATTCTTTAATTTGTTCATTGTACCATGTTATGTAATTATACATTTTATATTAGGCAGGTCTCTGACATTACAATAATATGTAGGTATTTTAAAAAAGGCGCAGTAATCGAAGTAGGAGAAAAAAATATCGAATTCCAAGTACGCAATGCAATTGGAACTTTAATTGTACACCGTCATATTATATAACTATTAATGGCATTCCTAGGTGGCAGGGTATATCAGTACATCAATGTATGGCAATATAGCACATAATCTATAATTCAGTGCCGCAGCCGGGGTGAGTGGGAAAGCGGCAAGTGTTCCCCCCACCAATTTTTTTTTATTAATAATGGTATCATAAAGTAACATATGATCAGTATTTTAGTTCAACAAAAACTAGAGGCAAACCATTAAGTTCACCCTCAAATAAATTATCTACATCGACATAAAATGGTTACGGCACTGCCATATTACTGCCATCATGGCTACGGCACTGATCTATATCATATTATCATATAATAATAATAATTATAAGTCTTACTGAAAACGTAAATAATAATGAAAAATTATGAGAATTTCAGCTTCAAAAATTAGAAAACACATTACATTTGTGTATTTTAGACAAACAATTTGTTTTCGTATGTTTTTTACTTATCTAAAAAAATTATCCTTAGCAGAGCGTGGTTTCGATCCACGGACCTCTGGGTTATGGGCCCAGCACGCTTCCACTGCGCCACTCTGCTATGAAATTAGTAGGGCAGAATAATCACATTTATTCTAAAAGGCCCCTTTTAGGGACTTATTTTTTTTAGTTACATTCTTAAATTCATAAAAAAATATAACGTCAACAAATTTATAAATTGAATGAAAATGGAATTCTTTAAAATTTGTTTCTCTACACTATGCTATACACTACGTTATTCTTAGGAATTTTATAATAAGCGAGTATACTTAAAATGCCTATCATTGAAAGTAATATGACTTGTGAAATTTTATAACTAGCTTTGCTAATGAAAGTGGGTCTAGACTTTCAATGATATAAATTTCTTGATTTTTGTTAAATACACGATGCGTACGGTGGCTAAGGCGCGTGCAAACGATTCAGTCCTCATGTGGCATTGCCACAAAAAAAAAAAATAATAAAAATAAAATATGCAATAATGGAAATGGGAAGGTATAAATATTGATCTATTTATAGGGGGCGGCCGGGTACCGCTGTAACCCGCGGTAGTATTGTATCAATAAATATTTTTTTTGTGGAAAGAATTTGTAATATGACTAAGTGCAACTAGACCTTTAAAACGTGTGGTGCTATAATATTTCATATTTTAAAAACATAACACTGATGGTATGTCACTATATAATAATGATAATTAGACCTATAAAAACAAGGGGTGCTAAAGACTCTTTTGCACCCATCTAGTTGAGTTATTGAATATTACACGACCCTTCTAAACTTAGCAGTGCAACAATAAAGAATAAGTGCTAGCATAAAATATAATTAATATTATTTTAACATAACCACGGTTGTAGATAGACAACCATGACTTAATCATAAGGAATTATAACTAAAAATGTGTTAAGAAAAATCAAAAAGTGGATCTATTTTTTAGTTGTGGGGGGCGTAAAATTATGGTTGACGCAGGACGCAAAAATCGTAAATACAGCCCTGGTGACTGCTATTATCAAACTCGGAACTATAATATTGTGTAGGTATGATAGATCGATACATGGCAAATATTAATCGGTATATAACCGATTTAACGCAAAAAAACCCTTGCAGCAATTTGGCAATTATCGTTAATACCCGACTATTACGTAGCTCAAATTTTCTACCGGTGGCACAAATGCGCAGAAGCAAGGGAACACATGTCCCTCACCCAAAAAAAAAAATTGTGATAGGTTTGTGTGTGGATACTAGAGTCTGGTAAAGATTATAATACAATTAATAATTATATTGTAAATGTAATATTATAATGATTAACTCTTAGAACTCACAATTATTAATGATGATTGGTGAGTGGCAGCCGGTACATTTCTGGTAAATGTATTCGAAAATAAAATTATTTGCTATACCCTAATAATGTAATGTAAGAATAATCAAGTATTAATATACCTAGGTTTATTATATTATTATGGCATATAATCGAAATCATGTATATGGTCTTACTGGCAATTTAAATGATTTATAATAATTAAAAATGATGAGAATTATTTATAAAAATAATGTTTAGCAGAGCGTGGTTTCGATCCACGGACCTCTGGGTTATGGGCCCAGCACGCTTCCACTGCGCCACTCTGCTAGTGAAAAATGTGCTTCGGCCATGTATAGATATGTGCAAAACTGATAAATAGCCGATAAATAAACATATTTGAAAGTAGGTAGGTATAAGTAGGTAGTAGGTACCTCAACGTATAACTGTATAATATATGTAACATACGATACTACATTTCGGGCGCCCGGGAATCGGGCCACAATTCACCTTTTTTTCCAAAGGTATACGGTAATTGGGCCACTAAAATTTTATATTTATAACAGGCAGACCCGGTAATTGGGCCACTATTACATTTTAAACTGTAATAAAATATTATTTAATATAATACACTGCAACGCACACGAAACATTACTCGAAGCGACTGCGTATGATTTATCAAAAGGTAATAAATTATCCAATATCTTATGATATAGAATTATCAATTGTCAAATGAAATGGATAAAAATAGTCATACGCGTAGTGTGCAAAGATTATGAAACATTGTAAATTGTGATCGTTTAGTTGATTAGCAAACTTAATAGTATTATTAGTATATTTGTGTGCTATACTTGTATGGTCCAATCTCCGGGTACACTTTAAAAATACAGATTTAATTGGTGGCCCAATCTCCGGGTAGTAAAATATAAACAAATATTTTATACGAAACAGGTAGTTTAAATGTGGCCCAATTCCTGGGCGCCCTTCCATTTCCATACAGCAACTCCGCCATCTGCAGAACACATAACAATTATTGAGTACTTTTGTATGCATACATAATACCTATGTTAATGAACATAAAGGTAACAATAACATATGTTGTACCATATAATGTTATATTAAAAAATATATATTATTATATTAAGATGATGAATTCAAAATTGTATTCAATATCAAAAAATGTGGGCACTAGTTAGAACCACTCTGCTGTACTGTAGATACTCTAGATGTTGTGTGAGTCACTGTAATGGATGTGTTTAATTTGAAATCAATGATGAATAAACTATTTTAAAATATAAAAAATATTCTGATCGAAGACGGTCTGTCAGCGCTTAGCCTATATTACTTTAAGCATATTTTATATTTGTATGACATTATTTCT